ACTGAAGAACAAAAACGCGAAAATAGGCTGAAGAACATATATTCTGTTCTTCAGTTTTCAAAGAACACATTCGTGTTCTTCACCATGTTCTCCAAAGAACGGAAGAACACAGATTTCTAACAGTGTATACTTCTCCGACCCTGAACATTGAATGTTCTTTTGTATATAGAGTACTTTGGGGTAAATAGAGACACTGTTTGGAATTTCCGTCGTTTGTTTCATCATGCGAGTAATGAAACTTACAGAATATAGATAATCTATCATGGAGAATTGATAAGCAGCAGTCTTAGATCCCCACGAACCGATGGTTTCCAGAAAACGTTTTAGATTTATGTTAGATTAGGAAATTTTTACATCAAACCGGCGTTTATGCCAATATAACTTACTTAAGTCAGGGACTGATCGAAACAGATGAGCGTTACCTTGTGGATTTGTAGCAAACACATCTGGTTGATTCTATTGACTGAAAACTGCCATTATCGTCTGTTCAAGAGTATGATAGTCACTATAATGGTAGAAGAAACAATATTGATGGGGTACTTTTTCTCTCTACCTCGTTTGCTAGAAATATCTTGACTAGGCAAGAGGATGACTCGATGTCTAGCAAAGAATCTCGACGCATTTTGATGTCTTAAATGTGACTGCGTGATTTATGGGTGATTAAGGTACCTAGTACATAGCCTTTTTGATGTATTAGTGATGCCTATCAAATGCATCTAAACTATTTTTTCAAAAAAAGCAACGACTTAGTGGTATTTTGTTGAAGATATTAAGGCGATTAACACTAAAAATAGGAGAAAATACACCTGACGTGCCTCGGAAATGCACTGTGGACGTATTTTGAAGTCAGCCGAGTGGTTTATTAAGACACTTTTTTCCGACACCAAATATTCTTCACTCAGCGATCCTTCCTAATCATCTTCATCTGACAAAGGTACATCAAGATCTGGAGCATCGTCCAGTGACATGCAAAAGTATGTTTAAAAATTCATGCGAAAGCTGCGATGCCAGCGCGTGGAGTTTTGAATCTGACGGCGTAAAATCTTAAACTCTAGAATAGTCGGAATTTTTAGCTGAGCAGTCGCACATATCATTTTTTTCTTCATAAACCTCTCTTTTGACTTAGTGTGTCTCTTCAGTGGTCGGAATATCTGTGCCAAAGAAAAAGCGCTCAGAAACTAGGTTGGCTAGTTTTAGATGTGAAAGATGCAAAATGGGACATCCAGCTCGCTATTACAGTTAGCTCAAAGTCTGGCTTCGGTCTGAACTAAATTACACATTCTATAAAATGACCAAGACTGAATTTTGCATTTCTTCTCCATTATTTTCTGATGGACATAAACCGCTTCAAAAGTTAAGTACTAGGACTGTAATTTACGCGCTGGTCAGCATATTGAAAAACTGAGTTCCGGCGTGTTACACGTTTTATTACTAAATATAAAAACCTCGTTCTTTAAAATTGAGTAGACTGTGGAGTGGGAAATAAAAATTCAAGTAAGAAGTACAAAACTCCAACGAGATGCATTTTTTAGTAAAGTTAACTGCTACACTGATTTACTGAGCTTTCGACTTGTTTATTCTTTGGTCATTTTCAAGGCGAATGACAAAAAGAAAAAACGTGTACAGTATAAGAAGAAACAGAACGAACTAAATAAAATAAAATAAAATCTTTGGACTTGCAAGTCTAAAGAGAGAAGCGAAGTAGACTGCCATTTCTCGATGTTATGGTTATTGGTGATGATGTAAATAAAGCCTACGAGACCGGTCTTTACAAGAAAGCCACAGATACAGGCCTCTACTTGCTGAGAAAATCTGACAACGAATGGTTACCCTGCTCACATCATCAGAAAGGGCGTGAAAGAAGGAGAAGTAATTGTCAATCGGCTTAATCACCCTTCTCAGCAACAGCCACCAAAGAAAGTGAAAACTCTCTATTTCACCTTGTCTTATTACGGTGAAACAACGTTCCTTTTAGGACAGAAAATTCAGAAACTGTGTTCGCAAATGATACCTTTGGCAGATGTGAAGATCGCTTATAAGAAACTGCATACTATGAAAAGCGTTTTCTTGCCTGTGCAAAAAGGAAATACTGAGATGCCTAATGTATTGGAAATGCAGAAGAACCTTGTCTATTGTATTCTATGTAATGACTGTGAAAAAAAGTACATTGGCGAAAGGTGCAGACAACTTCACATTCGAACGAGTGAATATGAGTATGAAGTTAGAAGATTTGCACTAACACCTAAGATCGTTGAACATGTCAAGAACACCGGACACTCAATGAATTTCGAAAATGTTATTGTGATTGCAAAAGAAACGGAATGGAGAAGACGAGTATCCAAAGAAGCATTGATTTCTAACGTAAACAAAGGAACGGCAATCAATGACACAAAGTTCGAACTGAATGTTTTTTGAGAAGAACTTATAATGTCCTAATTGAGGGACATCGATGGTGACAGTGAAAAGTTCTTCGAACATAGACTTGCAAGTCCAAAGATTTTATTTTATTTTATTTAGTTCGTTCTGTTTCTTCTTATACTGTACACGTTTTTTCTTTTTGTCATTCGCCTTGAAAATGACCGAAGAATAAACAAGTCGAAAGCTCGGTAAATCAGTGTAGTAGTTAACTTCACTGAAAAATGCATTTCGTTGGAGTTTTGTACTTCTTACTTGAACCTCGTTCTTTCCTCAGTTTTACTGTACCCGTCGAAGTATCCAAAGCATCCAGATGACCATATCACTAATGAATAGCTCTATCTTTTACGTATTATTGCAATTTTTCCACATTAAAACAGGTTATATCTGAGAGTTTTTTTCTTGGTGTGTTTTATCAAAATCATCATTTTTGGATAATAATTTCACATTATTCGGTAAGATCATCAGAATTCGTTCAAAAAGAAACGTTTTTGGTTGGTTTCTTTTTATTTGGAAGAGAAATAACAATCTGAAACAATGTAATTGTTATATCCTAATACAATATGTTCTCTCAATATGATGAGTGCATGAGAGCTATTTTCAAAGGTTTTAATTAAAAACCATTCGTTATGTTGTAGCGTCTTTCTGCAAAAGCAAAAAATCACTCTTCAAACATTCTATGTAAATAATCATTGACTAATTGGTCATGAGGATCAAACTGTCTTCTTATCTCGTGAAATTTGTCCCATGCATTTGGGTACAGTTTTCTCAGTGTCTTTGACGTAAGTGAATGTGCTTTCGCCCAGTGAGGTCGCCCATTGACTTCAAGACAGATTGCTTCAAATGCATGCCACCATGGTTCATATTCAATATCTTTTTCATATGGGCGATACATGATAATATTTATATAACAAAAGTTACCCTCTAATTCACCGGACGTGGGAGATAACATCACATGTGTATCTCGTTTAACAAATCGAATTTCAATGGGAAAATGAACACGTATTACGTGCTGGTTTTCATCTAACCATGACTGAAGTTTATGCAAAACATAAGCAGTTTCTTTCAGAGGTATAGCCCATTCGTTGACGTACTGCCTAAATAGACAATCGAAATTAAATATTTTATCACAACGATCTTCAATGATTAAAGAATGAGTGGATTCGTGCCACAGATAAAATTGATTGATATAGGGAATTAGACGAGGAATATAGGTGGCAAGCCAGTATAAAAACTCTAATAAATAATGGCCAATAAACATTATGCGAAACCACGCGAAGAAAACTAATAACCAATGGATGATAAAGTTTGTTTTTCCTGGTGAGTTCGAAAGACAACAAAAATTAATTAGAAATTTTTTACTAATGGATAAATATTCGAGCTTACTTTTCTTAGATGTATCAATAGTAACTTGCTTGATACGTGATATATGTTGCGCGAACCCTTTATCCGTATATGGAAAATAATAAAATCGAAAGTGATCGGACGCGTGTACGTGAGTATCTAGTGTTGATAGTAGATCTTCAAACTTCATTTGATATTTAACTTGTTTCAAATAGTAGAGTGATTCAACTTGGTATTTCATAGATAAAATAATGCCCATACATCCTAGACTACAGCATAAACTAGAAAATATCTCACCATCTGTCGGAGAATATTCTTTTATTGTTCCGTCGAGTAACATGAGAGTAATCGAACGGATATAAGATGACATTGTACCATAATTAATACCTAGTGTAGAAAACAAGCTATTGCGATAATCGAAAAAGATTTCCTCTTTCTTTTATTACCCGTTCCATGTGATGCTGTTGATACTAATCCGGTTAATGTTAACTCTGATATTGATCCCTGATTTGGTAGACAGAGATCCCATTTTGGTAATTCATCATTTAATTGTTGAATGGTCACTCCACTTTCTACCTCAACATACATTTCGTCTTTGTTCACTTCTCGAATTTTATTCAAATGTTTCATTGATATCATGTATCCATCTGTTGTACAAATGGCTGATGGCGAATGACCACATCCTACAACACGTATCTTTTCTTTTCGTTTATGGGCTTCACATACAATGGACTGTAAGTCAACGATTGTCTGTGGTTCAAAATAAAGTTTAGGTATGCATGAATAAGTCTTAGCCCAATTTTCAAAAAAATAGTTAGACACTCCAGTAGTAGACATTCTAAATAGATAATATGAAAGCTTAGTATTAAAGCATCACTGACGTCTACTAATAAATTGGACAATTCGAATGAGTAAATTCAATTAATCAGACAGGTAAACACAAAAATCATTCTTACTCACGATTTATCCGTCAAGAATTAAAGAGTATCAAAAGAAAATAATCAATCATACATATTTTATCGTAATATTGCTCACGTCTTGTATATCTATCTTTCATTTCTTTTTGTTTTGTATTTTCTCTTTCCGTTCCGTTTCATTACTCCTTAGACGAAGTTCAGAGATGACAGTCAGCAAGCCATCTTAGTTTCTCCGACAGCATTATATTCCATACAGAACTAATAAAATTGTAACTCAAGAGAGCCATACAAAATGATACGTTTCATTGATTTTTTCTCTTTACATTCTTTTAGCGTCACCGGAGACTCGTGAGAAATATCTTTCTGTCGTATGACATGATACAACGATGAGCTATCGTAGCTTTTCATTGTATCTTATCCATACAGAAAAGAATGTAGGATTTTATATCAGATTTTGTTGAAACGTTGCCAGTGTGTAGCCGTACTTGAGTTAAATTTTAAGCCTTAATTGTTGTTGTTTCCTTCGAAATAGTACGTGACAATAAGGAGCAAATAGACTGTCTCCTTTTTGGTTAGGATATACTATGACTGAGGCCAGACCTAACTTTTAATCTCAGAATATCTAATCTTCTTTATGATCTAGGTTTTATTACTATATATTAATAACTCGATATAGCACAGGCATCCAATAGAAACGACTTAATTAAATCAGGCATAATTAGAGCTCAATATCAACTGAAAGTAGTTAGAATCACACGTCTTTCACTTTTGTCGTTGTTTTTTTACAATGAGAAACTTTAATAGTAGAGCAGAGGTACAAAATACGTTTTAATGGTGGTTTCGTCATTTCACTATACAGATTTACTGTAACTCATCTTATAATTAGATTAGGACACGCTGTTGTTAAAAGATGGTCTCTCAGTCTTAGCATATCTTTTATTTCTCATCGACTGCATTTCTTGCGTTCTGTTGTGTATTTTCTTCTAATGAGAAAGAGAAGAACAGCAAGAAAGATGGCTGACAAAAATTTTCGTGTGCTACCATTTTTCAGTTCTATATAGTGTATTCTAATATTTATCTTGACCCTTATTTGTTTGGTTGAGATAAGCTTTCATTATTTTCTATCATTGCGGATGACATGATTTATGTTGACAATGGCGCTCAAGAAAAGAAATCTTGATCCTTTTATTTCGCCAACTTCTGTGTTGTAGAAAAAATACGGTTCATATTATTGGATAAAAGTTCCATACTGTTGCCACCGTTACTGGAATATTCTTCTATTCTATACTGCAGAGGGCGTTGTTTTTTATAGACATCTCAGTGATGGGAGCTACAATGCAAAAGGCATGATGAATTCAGAGACTCTAATCTGCCTTTCAAGTACATGAAATAAGAAACTCATTTTTCACTAGTCTACAGACTGATACAAAGTAAATAAGTTGTATATCCGCATGGTGGACAAGATCACGACTGAGATAAAGAATCATCAAAATCACACAACTAAAATAATTACATTTCACGGAGAAATGCCTCAATTTTCATCGACACAAGAACAACAGTGTAGATATCCTTATGACACAAGTAGCTTTAATCGTTCTAGATTTGAAGTACCAGGGTGAGCAATCATATATCAAGATTTCCTATAATCTTATATGATCTTATAAGATCATAACATATGAAGCTGTAAGATCTCATAAGATCGTATAAGATATCATATGATCTTGCAAGAAGTGACAAGATTTCATCAGATCTTATAAGATTATGTGCCTGATCGTGTTCTATAAATTTCCTCTAGCCCCTCTTAAAAAAGTATCTTTCTCTGTTCAAAATATTTTCTGGTATAGGTAGGACACAAAGGTCCTTAGGATCGTGTTTAACCACGTTCCTTATAGCCATGCACTTTATTTGCGCTCAGCTGATGCTTGAAGACGAAGAAAGAAAGAAATTCTAAGTTTTCTCATAAGAATTGTATTATATATATACTCAGTATCGTAGCAAAATTTATATGGTAAGAATGAGTCATCGATTCTTGCAAGGTCATATAAGATCCTACAACAAGAAATCGTATGATCTTGCGATGAGAAATAAATACAAGACACTTCTCTCAATGGCAAGGTCTTATAAGATCATACGCTTTCGTGTTACAAGATCTTGCCACGTCTTATGACCTGATCATGTAAGATCTGATGACAAGAAGTTACAAGATTCCGCAGAATCTTACAACATCCTAAGACAAGATCTTGGAAGATCATGCAGTAAGATCTTGTTACAAGATTTTATAAGAAAACGGCAGTATGATCTTGTAAGGTGAGTTTCACGTGGGTAGAGAAATGTTCATATTCCCAAATTCTATAGTCAGGACACTACTAAAGGAACTTTAATAATTAATTTAAATTTTAATATCTTGGCTAATTTGTTGTATACAACATATATATCAATCTGTGTGCGTATGTATATGTATGTTGTATCTATTTTTCCTTCGCACGTACACAAACTTTCTAGATATTCATCTTCTCTAGGTATTCATCCTTTCTAGACATTTATCCGCTCTAGATATTCATCTTCTCTATCACCCTCATCCTCACCCTAAAAAGGATGAATGTCTAGAGAAGATGAATATCTAGAAAGGATGAATGTCTCTCCATATATCAGTAACTTTGAATAGACGGATCGGGTAACGAATACTACGTATGCACTTTTACACAGTATGCGTTTTCAACTTAGCCAAAATGTAATAATTCTGACATTTATGAAAAACAAGAAATTAGAAGATTTCATGAGTACAAGATCTTGACAAGAAATGCAAAAATACACTTTCATTACGACATCTCGATCGAAGGTTTGGCAAGACAGTTTTCGTTGCTGTCTATATTTTGGAAAAATTTTGGATACAAATAAAAGTAACACTACTCTTTACACTCATGAACGATGTCAGTAGACAAGAACAGACTATATATATTTATTTTAGAGATCTGCATGCGTACTGTCTCGCAGAGGTCATGATCGGATGTATCGCGGTCTCCGCTCCGGTTTTCATGGACACTTTTTCTTACCCATAGACACCAACTAGTTGTTTTACTTGTATGAAGTTTCCAAAAACATGAATGAAATTATTATTCAATGAATAGTAAGTTAGCACCACACAAAACCTTTTTCATTTGATATTCAAACAACAAAAAAAGAACAACTGTAAAAGACTACCTTTCTATGCATTACAATATACAAAAGATAAAAATTTCCTAGAAGAACGGTAGCTCCGTCTACATTCGGTCAACATCCTCATATTGTGAAACGTTTTCTGGTAGAGCACCGAGTGGTAGCTGATGATAGGATTTTTGTTGATCGTGTGCAGCCGGATGAATTCCTTCCGAACTTTCAGTTCGAAAACCCAGTGATTGCAAATCTTTGGTAACAATATTGAATGTAAGATTTACGTAGCCTTGTGAACGAACGCGAGTCACTAAATACGAAAATGAAAGAATTTATCTAAAAATTTCTGTTTTATAACTTAGTTATAATAAAAAATAATAATAAAAAAGTCACAGCAAAATTTAAGACGAAGCTCGTGTATAGCGAATAAGATAAGCGTTCAGAATAAGTCATCACATAATTCAAATACAAGACTAGCTGAATTTAAACCTAAGCCAGCAATAAGTAAACAGGTTATTCAAACGGGTCATTAGTTTTAGCAATGTTAAAATATTAGCTAGAGACAGTAGACCCTATCGACCACTGGTAAGAGAATCTCCAGCTATTCGTACACATACACCACAGTTTAACGGTACAGATAGATCAGTAATCCTGTACGAGGGTTCTCTTTCTTTCAGTCATTGGTCTTATGTAAAAAAGAAAAGAAAATCATTCTTAAATGTTAAATACAAAAAGTTGGTCTCTAGTCAAGTATTTTTCATGTACTGCTGTGAGTTTATAATATTTATTCAGTTCAGTTAAGAACAGTCCAAGAACTTGTACATTCCCTCTTCTTCTCCTTTCACTTTTCGCTATGTAGTTCTACATTTCTTCTGTATCACGTTCTGATTACCACCTACATTTATATATATGTTTGTAGAACAAAGTCCTGAGTCTTACTGATCGTGTAGTTTTTAACTGTGTTAAACTTTAATATTTTAACTCTGATGGTCAGTCGGTGATTCGAAAGCTCAGCATAAAAACTATTTGAAAAAATATAATAGAATAAGAAATAAATTTAGCTACAAGTTTTGATAAAATAGAAACTTTTATTGTAAAAGTCCTACCATTAACAAAAGTCAATAGAACTTATCTAAATATTTCATCAGATCTGCCTTTATCAGTTTTCAAGTCCTATCCTCACGAAGCCCAAATCGTCATGCAGATGGATGGCTGAAGCGTTCTGACTAAAAATAACAATTTATTATCTTCTGAGTAAAAATGAGACAATGAAAATGCTGTGTCATTCGACTAAGTCCATGGATTCCTTCCTTTTCCATCTTAACCTGGCGCTGATAGGAGCAAAACTTACTTTCTCTTCCAGCGTTGTGAGCGACTACTTTTGGATCGACAAATTCCGGTCGTCTTCCTAATATCCATGCCAGAAATTGTTGAAAACGAGACGAGGAACGGGGAACAAACAATGGGACGCGAAGTTTATGTCTGGAATTAAAGAAGAATTAGTTTTAGAAAAAGTCTTGAAAATGGCAGTGCTCACCTTCCAGGTGTAATTGGTATATGTGTTGTTCCATATCCTCTTACAACATCGTTGCCAAATGCATCCATACCATAGCCACTTAGAACTAGCTGCGGCCCTTATACATAAAATAAGTTTCATAGTTGGCCGAAATCGTATAAAAGAAAACTGTATTTTTGATAAAACGTAAAAAGGGGACATTTCTACGGAAACATCAAGAAAGAAGTATTATGCAATTGAACGAGAAAAGCAGCGGAATAGTTATGGAACTAATAAGTGTCATCTATAAATTTCTGATTGCTGGTCTGAAAAAACCTTACTTACATCCAAATGGACTTGTACTCTTGAATGTGCATTCTAATGGAAAATTAAATACTAGTTTTGGATTAAAATCCACTCCTTTATACGCGATTTGTGTTGTGCCTTCATCTAACCCCTTGAATTAGAGGGAATAAACTCAGTAGAAATCTAATTTTTGTTTTCTGTGTAGAATTAACTTACAGCACATATTTCCCAATCTTTTCCGATTACATAAGCGAATCTCAAGTATAAATCATCAAAATCAGCAAACTATAACAGAAAAAAGTCACAACAACATTTAACAAGAGGATATAATACTGATTTAGCAATATCGTCTAACATAGAGAAGTATTAGAAGAGTAGGAGACCACAGTTTTTGGAAGTGTCAGAAACTGAGTACAAAACTGCGTGTTTTTTTGGCAAACTGTTTTTGTTTCTTTAGATGTTAGAAAATCAGAGTGTATTCTACCTTCAATTCGAACTCTATTTTTGTAGCTTGTAGAGGCGAGAGACCTACCTCAGCACTCTCGACTGCTCCATTTACAAAAACTAGGAAGCTCGTTGGTTTTGTAGTCATATTCGTGGATTCCTCTTGTTTATTATTCCACTCAACAAAAATGCATTACTCAGGTATGAACCATTACTGTTGAACGTTACCATGGTGAAATCTGTTGGAGGATTTATTTCGATCGAAAAAGAATTCTTAGTTTTATATGTCTTTGTAAAGTGCATGTAATTGTGAAAAGTATTGTGTTAAGAAAGATCTATAGTTTCATCTAGAAGTGAAGAATATGCAGCTGATTAGTCACACCCTCTACCGTTCTACCGTTTTCTTACTCCTTCATATAGAAATCGATAGTAGTGACCTAAACATTCGACTTTTGCACATGGGGAAAGAATACGAGCTTAAGAGTGTATCACATGCGTTTTCATTTGAAATGAGGTCGTTGACAGATAAGATAATGCAAAGGACGGGAGTCGATAAGAGCCAAAATCGACCCCCTCACGGCAGAGATGCAACCGGTACCGATATGAATTATAAGGCCGACCGGTATACCGGCACGAATTATAACGGTGACCGGTATACCGGTATTAGTATGAAGTATAATCAATCGGTCGACATTACTGGTATTTTGCGATATGATACGATTTAGCGAAAAATATCGTGTAAATTCAGCTCATCTATGACATATTTCTATAAACAAGGAAAAATGTTTGTATTTAAGCAAAAAATGATCAAGACAAGCCGGTGCCGGTACGAAGTTTGTATACCGGTGACCGGTACCGGCATCGCATTTTCGATACCGGTTCCACCCGTGCCTCACAGATCAGCCTAAAAAAGACTCTTCCCTCGTTAAATGACCTTTACTCAACGTATTTTCATTGTTCCACCTCCTTCACCTAGAACAAATATCAATTATTATACACCGTTTAATAGACAATTTCACGGGCTAAAAATAGTATATAAGACAGTCAGAAGAAAATGTAACTGAGTAGTCTAAGATTGGAAATACTCGGTAGCATCTGAACAAACCGGTGGGCCAACGTCGTTCCAGTTTATAATATTGATTTATTTTCTCGTAAACCACTCTACTTTATATAGTGTTCGATAGAGAATCTCACGGGCTACAAAATGAGCTATAGCACATTATTTTAGAAGTGTGCCTTTGTTAATATATTCGACAAATACTTGACAGATATCTCGATTTTTTTCCTATAGTGGTACATAAAAATGATTTAGGTTTCTTCTTCTTCTTTTAACAGCCATCGTAAATAAAAGTCGCGACAGTCATATACTATTCAGTATATAAATGGTTGACGGGAGATGGCCTAATCGTGTACAGAATTGATTTGTATATGACTGTCGCGACTTTTATTAACGATGACTGTTAAAACTATTAAACCAAGTTTATTTTCAGTTTTTCTCCTCGAAGATAATAGCTACAACAAATGTGAGGAAAGTTTAGTTATAGCTCAAGGAGTTTCCAATGTGATCTGTCGCAAATCAAGATTTGACTGAAATTCCCAGGGCGAAATGAATGAAATCCCCTCCTAGGTCTCTGGGGAACCGTAACTCTAGGAAACCAAGTCCCCGAATTCTAATGATACTTTTTTTTGTAATAGCCTAATCGAGTATAGAAAAGATTCCTGAACAAATCAAGACGCCTCTGAGCTCTCTATAGCACTGTTTCATCAAACAGCATTCAATTTAAGAAAAGCCCCATGTCACCAAAATTACTCGGAAACACGAAAAATGTGTCTTTCATTTTTTTACCCATAAGTCTAACAAACTTACGATCTGAAAGAATACATTATACCTCATTCTGTAGCCCTTTCAATTCTACATCTTTCTATTTACAAACTGTGCCTAATCTCTGTCTGTAGAAGAAACGTAAATCATTTTTATGTACCACTATAGGAAAAAAATCGAGATATCTGTCAAGTATTTGTCGAATATATTAACAAAGGCACACTTCTAAAATAATGTGTTTTTAATCCTAGTTTACAGAAAAGTTCTCATTTATTTTCGTTTTGATGACAACTCTAACGTTTACATTATGAAAATATTAGAGATAAGAATCCAACCACTATACTATTTCATATACCAATGGTAGACCCGCATAGCAGGAAATTTGTCAAAAGTTTTGGACGCATTTAAACGTGTTAATTGAACAATTTACCATTACCACGCGTTTTTCCCTTAGACAACGTCGAACTTTTTTGACTCGTTGAAAGTTCGACGTTGAAAGCGTTGAAAACTTTTGTAGTTTCAACGCATTTAAACGCGTTTATTTTTCGAAAAAAATATTTAAAACTGCCTACAGCGCGTTTGAAAAATGTGGGAAACGGTTTCAGCGCGTCAAATATCAGGATTTTAAATGCAAAACTTATAAAAGTACACCGAAAACCTCACAGCAGGAAATTTATTAAACATTCGAACGCGTTATGGTCGTTGTGCCTTTCGAAAACCGGGTTTTCTATGCATTTTTACGAGTTTTACATTTAAAATCGTATTTTTTGACGCGTTGAAACCGTTTTCTACATTGTTTCAACACGTCGTAGATAGTTTTAAATGTTTTTTTCGAAAAATAAACGCGTTTAAATGCGTTGAAACTACAAACGTTTTCAACGCGTCAAAAAAGTTCGACGTTGTCTTGGTAATGGTAAATTTTTCAATTGACACGTTTAAATGTAGCCAAAACATTTGCAAATTTCCTGGTGTGTGGATATGCTTCTTCGATGGGATATGAACAGATATGCCATAGGATATCTTTCGCTTGCAAAGCATATGCTTTAGACTGTCTTATCCTTCAAAGCTTATAGAAAACACGGATACTTCATGACAGAAAAAAGCAAGATTTTTCGTGCTGTTAGAGGTCAATGAAAACACTTTTGATTACCCAGGTGAAATTCATCTTGCAGGATTATACAAGATCTGTCGTTTTTTTTGAAATCTGATGGCAAGATTATAATCCATTATCTTACAAGATCTTATTTCAAGATCATCCAAGAGCATGCCGAATCTGGTAACTTCTTGTCATACGATCTTACAAGATCAGCCTACAAGAAGTGGTAAGATCTTATAACATTAAATCAACAGATTTTGTACGATTTTGGGATAAAGAATTCAACACTTTCACTCACAAGATTGTACAAGATTTTGGGAGATGTAGCAAGAAGTGATGACCCATTCTTACCACATAAATGTTGCTACGATATATTACAACGTCGTACTTATGATGAAACTTAGAATTTTTTTCTTTCTTCAGCCTCACACATCAGCTGAACACAAACAAGTTGTATGGCTATATAAAGTAGACGATCAGACACGATCCTAAGGACGTCAGAGTCCTACCTATATGCTAGAAAATCTTATGAAAAGAAAAAATTTTTGTAAAAGTGTCTATCCATGTCAAAGAATCTTACTGTGAGATCTTATAAGATTCTTGTATGATTTTGTCCGATTTCGTAAGATTCTTATATGATTTTTATAAGATTGTTTGACCTGGCTATAGAGGGAATCTGTAAGAATTACAGACGTAGTCTTGTAAGATTTGATGAATTCTTACATGATCTTACAATATCTTATCATAAGAGTTTGCAAAGTTACAAGAAAATTTTTTGTAATCTTATGTGGAATCAGGGAGACTGATTCATAGGAAATCTTGTGAGATTTTGTAAAGTTTCCATAAGATCTTATATAATCATATAAAACCTTATAAAATTTTATAACATGATCTTGTAAGGCCATACAAGACCCTGCAAGATCATTTGACAAGATTTGACGACAGGGATATATCGAATTTGCTTGAGTCTTTTTCTCAGCTATAAGTTCGGAATGTGTTTGCTCTTTTTCTATTTCTTGATTATCGGTATCATCATCATCATTACTGTTACTTTCAAATCAGCTATCAACTAATATCAAGTATTACTGCAAAATATCGGATACTGTCAGTTTTATAGTTATTTGTTAGTTATCGAACATTTTGTTATAAATTAATGCTTATTTCGTCCAATTATTTTAAGAAATTTCACTGCGTGCTTCAGTAAAAATTCGACACACTTCTTAAAAGTGTTTTAGTTAGATCTAGTATGATCTTAATTTTTTAATATCGAAATAAGATTTGATAACTCTACTTTCATTCACCCTTTCATTTTCTTCTTATGCAGCTATAGAAATAACTCTGAAACATCACTGAATTTTGTATTGTTAACTTACTTATTCACTTAACCGTGTTCAACAACTGTTCGAAGAATGTACGATGGATATAAATCAATCTCCAGAAGGGGACGCTATAAAATATAAAGTTTCTGTCCTACAAAAAAGAGGAATAAAATAAACTTCTAGATAAATGGGAGATGGATCTTGTTAAAAATCGTGATAGTAATACGCATTTTTGAGTGTCACAAATAAACCTTAGTAAGATTTGTCTACTACAATCTTAGACAAATGTGATCAAAACCTTGTTAAGATCTAATTAAGATTCGAGTAACTTCTAAGTGGGATATCCTACTCTAAATAGAAGTTTGCCTGTTTGTTTGTCTATAAAGTGTTTTATTTGTGAGAAGTTAGATGGGTCACTTAGGCGCTGACTATCACAGAAGTTTAATCGAATATGTCTATACTTGTACATTGGTTGCAAAAAAGAAAGAATTTTTTTTCGAGATTTGTCTGAAACTGAATAGATCTGCCTCAAACGGGGCGGATCAAGAAAAGCTATGGGACGAACCAGTAAAACCACTGGAAGTCCGATACTTTGAAGCATTTTAAACCGATTTTTTACAAGTGTATCAATGAGAGTCTTGCCTATATGACTGCCCACGCACACAAAAAGATCTCTAAGATTAAGAAAGGTATTTAACAAATATTGGCATGATCGCGAAATTGTTCTTGATTCGCCCAAACCACTCTACTAATATATGTACACAAACAGCTCAGGTCGACGAATATCAGTGTGATAAAGACAACGTCGTCCACAAAAATATCAGATCATACTATTTAACTATATCGAAAACTAATATTTATAACATCTCATAAAGATATAAAATGTAATACACCAAAACCTAGAAGTAGTGTTTCGAATGAACTATCATACGTTAGTACTACCCATCCAAGTGATTTTTTAATTTTGTATCTAGT